AGCTGCTCAGTTTTGTAAACTTCTCGCTGGGTCTTTCTGACATGCTTTAAATATTAAAGTTCTCATTGAGCTGGCAGAATAAACAAAGTTGTGTTCCAAGGAGAAGTGTATCTTGCTACAAATTTAATTTTTGCAAACATCAGGTTATTCTTTATGGCCTCTAGAACTCATACAAAATGTAAAGATTTTCCTTTTGCCCTTCTGTAATCAATAGCATTTGCTGCTGCTAAGTCTGTTATTCTGAAGATCCATCAGCAAAGGAATATTAAGATATGAGGTTATCTGATGTGAACATGAAGTTCCTCTGAGTCTTGGTACACATTCCCTTTTGCCTATTAACATGATGAAGGAGGAGCAAGCCTCTTATTTCCACATTAAATGTTACGGAATTCATAAATTGCTGGCAAATATGAAGTTGAATACATAAATACAGTAAAGTGAAAAAAAAAAAAAATCCCAAAACAGCAAATGTAAGGAATGACAGAAAATATGTCTCAATGTTAGATGACCCTTTTCAGAGAACTGTAAGAAGAAATATATGCTTGGTAATATCATTATTAAAAAACCTGCTTACAGATCACTTTTTGCTTTTGGGAAGAGACAGGTAACTTTACACTGGGAAGCACTTTCAGAGTGATTCCGATTCCCTTCCTAGCCCAGCTAGACTTTATCACCCTGACTTTTAGTCTAGTACAGTAAATGTGCAGAAATCCTTAATACAAAAACAGCTACAGGAGTCCTGTCACCATTTCTGTGGCTCCTGAAGGGCCTGGCTGCTGCATCTTACACAGTTTGGGATGCAGTGGGAGACAACAGAAATTTCCTTTGGGTCAGAAGTGCCTTTAGATAGTAATTTTAAATATTCAGGATCTGCCAGCTGCTGAGGATTTGATGATAGTCTGGTAACTGCTGTTCTGCAACTGCAGCATGGTAAACTGTTGGATTAAAGCAATTAAACATTAAGACTCAAAGAGTTAAAGATATATTTTTAATTTTCAGTCAGATGTGTCCTAAATCTTATTTATAACCTTCCATTGTTTTATACTATCATGACCACTGTGGTCATGATAGTATAAAACCACTCAAGTCCCTGCAGTGCAGTGTCCCACCAGCAGCACTGAGCTGATAACGTGGAGATGACCAAAGCCCTGAGCAGATGAAGCCCATCAGCACAGGATGCCTCAGTTTTAATAGATCAAAAGTAACTCCTAAGAGCTGCAGTGGAGAATCTCCCTGAGATGCCCCTCCAGCACTAGCTGTCAGCTGGGTAACAGTCCAGCACCTTCACATGTCAGGCCTTTGCTCTGAAGAAACCAATCAGGGATCAGTAGTAGACTCTTAAAGGGACTTGTAGACTTGCAGCTTCAGCACAATTAGTTGTTAATTGGTTTTACATTTCTGTGTCCCCTGTGTCTCTGCCACACTACATCCATATGCTTCTCTCTCATTCCCAGCCCCTTCCTTCCAGATGATAGGTACCAGCATTTCCCTCTAGCAGAATTTGGTTGTTTTTAGGTAACTAAAATGTACAAAACAGAAGAACTATTTCCAAAAGGAGATGTCAGAGGTACAGATGCGCTCCACCAGCTTCACCAGTGCTTCATTCTGCTGCTTCATTCTGCAGTGCCTGATGCAGCACTGGGATCACTTCAATACCCAGCTGTTAATGGATGGACAGGCAGGAAGTATCCCAGCCTTGTCCAAAACGAGGTACCTTTGCTATCCTTCTTACCAGCCTTTCCTGTAATGAATGCACTGCTTGAGAAGGGATGAGCTTCTGCTCTGAACAGTATACTCACAGAATTACACTCATACCAGGAAATTTTTGATCCAGAGTATCCACTGTACTCTGGCACAGAGATACTCAAATCTACTCATTGGAAGAGCCAGAAAATGCAAGGTTAGAGCAGGGGAGCACAAGTGCAAGGCTGGCATAGCTGGAAATATAGCTTCCTGACAGGAACAAATATAATTTGGAATTCTCTTAGTAAACAAAAAAAATTGCCCTCAGCTATCCTTTGTACAGGGAGGTAAAAGACTAAACGCTGAGAAGTGTGTTTAATAAAAATATTCTCAAATACTTGGACATAGCTGGAATTACCTACAAGTTATGCATACTGTAGCACTGTCACTGAACCCTGCTGACAATCCCCATATACTTGCTCCACCCATCCTGTGCCAGCAATGCTCTCCCAGGACCTACATAAAGATATTAATAGCAATTAATCTCACAGAAGCCTGGTGCTGATCTTGACTCATGGTAGTGGTAAGCTTTGCAGTCTCAAATGTGAAAATAAAACAAAAACAAAAGCCCCCCCAAAAAACCCCCAAAAAAACCCAAAAACAAAAAACCAAACCAAAACCAAAAAAACTCCAAATAACCCAGAGTGTCGCCTCTGTTCTGCATGAATGCACTCTTACTAGGCTTTATTTATTTTCATAGTAAACACAATTCTGGGAAAAGCTTTCCTACGCCCTCTGCTGGTTTTCCAAGACAGCCATTTTCACCCGACTATCACAACTCTTCCTGTAAAATACCAGTAGGTTCTCACACCTCTCTTCCATTTTCTTCTGACTAAACTGCAGCAAGATGTATAGGACAGAATCATAGGTGCAAATTATAGTAATTACTTCCTCTTGCTTCCCCGTGACCTGTAAAATGACTACCAATTTTCACGTTTACTTACCAGCATTTTTTATGAACTAGACTGTTCAGGAAATTCAGGCAATCCCCATCTTGTCATAAACAGCAGGCTTCTTTGAGCAAGTCTGCACAGAGAACAGCAGCTGCTTTTGGTTCCCTTTCATGTTGAGGAGAATGGCAAACTCCATACACCTTCAGCCTGAACCTTATGGCCACAAAGTAATTTGTCAGTGGATCAATTATCTCCTTGTACTTCTGCCTTCACTGCCAAGCCTCCTTAAACACTTAACCACTAAGATTGAAGCAATTGTACTAGGTTATTCCCAAACTCTTCCAGAATAATTCTTTAGTCTTTAATCTGAGTTTTGTATATTCCGTGAATGTTTTCCAAAAGCTCAAGACTGCATACTGCTGATTCTCACTGGGGACTTACTCTGGTATCCAAAGCCACTTCTGCAGGTTTCAATACTCAGGTTAGTTAAGTCTTAATCCTTCTACTTCTGTATTTTTATGTATTTATGTATAGACAATCTAACTTATCCATAAACTTAAGACCCTTTAATAGTAATTCTCCAAAGAAAAAAATACGACCAGCTCCCAGTGGCCAGATGGTGAGATTAGTCAAATACAAGCAGGGTATATTCTCAGTGCTAGAAATCCATACCGTAATCACAGGCTGGGGCAGGTCATGACTGTAATAAGGGACACGGTGTCTGAAGATTCACATAGCTTGAGTCACATAGCTGAGACCAGGTGTCTTACCTCTATCTTTGAGAATGAATAACCCAGAGCGAACCCTCTAAATTCAAATGTGCACCAGATCCAGCTAGGGATATAGAATAGCAGTAACTTTATCTTGTCAAGAAAAAGGAGGTACTTCTTAATCAATCCAACTTTAGTTTAAGGTTTTGGATGTGAACACAGCCCTTCTTGAAAATTCTCTCTGCTGCAGTTTTCCCTTCACTCGCATCTACACCTTTTCTAAATGTATTAGCCAGTTTACTTAGTAAATGTTGTGCCAAACTTGTAGCCTCCATTACTGCTCAAGCTCTTTGCTCTTAGTAAATGCAGGAACAGCAAAAAATCTTCCAAGGCAGCAGAACTTTCACTAAAGAACCAAAAAATGAACACTTGCACTAATGAGTAATCCACAAAACCAAAACCGCCACACAACATGTACCTCTGCTATGAAAATAGTCCTAAGAGTCCCATAAATACATTGCTTTCTCAGAAGTGCTGACATGACAATGGTGCTGCTTCTTCTGAACTTACCTCTTAGGGAGACTAGAAAACTACTTTAAGTCAACATACAGCATTAACAGACAAATCTCTCTCTACTATTCTCAGTGATATCATGCACACACCACTCACAAGAAAGAAAACTTTTATCAAAACCACTCAGTGAAAGCCACTCTTTGGGAACCCAGAGCAATTCTAAATGCAGAAGTGAAATCTGGCTATAGCCAGCTGCCCTCCCAAAGAACTGACAGGCACAGAAACAGCCATGTTCCTGTGGCACATACTCAGTGTCCAGCACACAGTTCAGGGCATCAGGAGGCAGCCCATGACTCTGAAGCTATCTGCCTCCTTAAAGGAAGATCAGAACTGGTAAAATCATGGGAACATTTAACATCTACACTAGCAGGTCCAACACAGCACTGCTGCCTCAGCTCTAATATGCAGGTTTTCTCTGCACCAGCCTGCAACAGTTCACCTGCTTAAGTGGGACAACCTACCTGCTCCACCCAATGCATGTCTTGGGTCACTGCAAAATGATAACCAAACACCAGTACTGAATGGGAACACAAACACTGTCATCCACAGTATCTTCAAAGTTTTATGCAGGAAATGCAAACTTTTGATTAACATTCATCTAAATGTTAGGAAAATTTTGAGCAGTTATCAGGAAATTAAAATTCATTACATTTAATGTAAAATAACTATGCTGAAGATTATTAATCCAGCCCTGAGTTGGAGCATTAGGCAGGTACAGCCAGCTTCTGAGGACAGTATTAATCTTGGAGTTATGTTTTCCATCAGTGCATTTCTTCAAAAAATTATTACTTAACCTTCCATGAAACTTTGCTCTTAAATTTTCATCTCAATAGTGCCAGCTAGAACTCCAAAACAACCAGTTAATATGTCTGGCACCACAACTAAAAACATTCAATACACTCCATCTTAAGAATTTAGAGCTAGGATTTCCTCTTCGCTTCAACCAGTTAGTAGAACTGGAAACAGAAGATATTCAGACAAATGACAATTTCAACTGTCCCCCCAGAAATGGGCTGCACAAAGATGGGCAACAAGACTATGTATGTACCTTCAGTCATAGCCGTCACTACACTGCCACATGTTCCACTGAAGATACTTTATTTTTAAATTAGGCCCACCATTATTTCAGAAAAGACAAGTTCCCTGTCATTCTTCTTTTTACAGAGGAAGACACCAGCAAACACATCAGTATTTGATAGGTACCTAGTTCATTTTAATAAGGGAATCCACAACCCAGAAACCATTAAGTACCCCTTCCTATAACCAGTTGTAGGCAGCTCTCTTTGGAACTCAGAATCTGACTTGCATCCGGAAATGCATCTGCTTTGTAGCATTGTTACTCATTCCTGTCTTGAGCATCCATTTTGACTTCATCCTCTGCAGGTACTGCATGTCACACTGCTGAGCAGAGATGGCCCCTGCAGGGAGAGAGAAGGAATAGAGATGGATCAGTGTCTGCCACCTTACTTACCACTTGTATGCAAACCAGATGACGTGCCCATGTACTTCAGCAGTTACCTATAGGTCTTTCTTCCCATACTGGTACACTTCTTTCCACTTTTCTCTGGGGAAGCCCAGTTCCCTCTACAAATACCTGTGACTGTGATTAAGGCAAAAGGTTGTTTTGCATTCCAAGTGTGATTCTTGTATTTCAAAAGTGGATACAGACCACAACTCTGTTCCCCAACTGGAAAAGTATTCTGTCAAAGCATGACTTATGTTACAATATTAAATAGCAAAAGTAGTGACTTGGACAGGCAGAAACCAAGAAATCTCAGGAAGTCACCAAGTATCACAAACAATGGAATGAAAAGCTTGCACAGAAGCTGCACTGGATTTTAGAAACAAACTTCCTATAACTGGTAGATGTCAGGAATTAAAATGAACTGAGTGGAAGACAAACTACTGCATAAACCCCATGTGTGAAGCAAAGTTAACTTCTGCAATTGTAGAGTGATGATATCCCAGAGCCTCCTCCTCTGCAAAGCTCTCCCATAATCACTTACCTGCCTGCCCTGTCCAGCCCAAGGCTCGGTACTGCTGCAGCATCCGACCCACAGCTTTCTTGTTTTTTGCAACAGCCACGTCTCTTGTCACACCAAAACGCTGCTTGTAGTACCTCATCAAGGAACGGTGACCCACTCTGGCACCTGTCCACAGGAGGGGACATCTTATTATCCACCATGAAACAGCTTCTGAAATGGAATACTCAAAACACATTGTGAGAACGATGGAAAACCCCTCTGCTGAGAAATGTTTTTTAGGGTCCAGAACCTTAAAAAATTTAGAATTATTAGGAAATCAATGTAATTACTGTAGGAGCTGCTTGAAGTAAAAACACAAAATGGGCTGCTATTCCAGAGGGCCTTTGCTCAGATAATAAACACACAGTTATCAGAAAAGAAAATCTTAATTAGTGGAATGAGCAGAGAGGCAATGCTGATTTAAGTAAACAGTGAAGCCACTTGCTGACATTCAGGAAAACTTGTGTAACTGAAAAGTTGGCAGCACTTTTCAGAATAAAAGGGCTGAGGTCCCCTTATACAAAACTATCAAACAAAAAAAAAAAAAAGCTAGAGTGCCAAATGCTGAACTAGATAAAGGCTATTTAATAATTTAATTTACTGAACTAGTTTACTGAATTAGGTGGAAGCTGGCTGTCTACAAAAAACTCCTATACTAGACAACCTTAGTTACAGCCTCTCCAAGTTTCACTCAACTATGGAAACTCTTGCTGGAGTAAACCATGAGAGTCACGTGACAATGAAGATGTAAAATGGGCAAAGCAACCCACTGCCCCAGTCCCATATCCATCAGTGCTGAAGAAGCTGAACTGCTTGGCCATGAAAATAATGGGAAATGAGGCTATAACCCCAAAATGCAAAACTACCTTCTCCCTTCCCAGAGGAAAACACAACAATGGCCAGTCTTGCAGGTACTGGAGGCAGATATGGGAAGTGCAGGGGAAGTAAGTTGTAATACAAACCCTGTGCCCACCTGATGGAAGGATGAGCTCCATGGTGTCATCATCATAATCCAACTCTTTCTCTGACGAGTGCTTTCCAAGACCCTCCACATCCTTCCTATCCTCATGATCAGGATAACTGCTCCTGTGGAAGAGTTTAAACATGGTGAGCAGTCACAACTGTTCAGACTCACTCGACAAAAGAACCACGATGCGCGGCTACAGCAAGGCACAAATATTGTCATGTTTCACCTGCCTTGGTCTTAAGAGTTCCTAATGTCAGAACTTTGCACTGAACAGAGCCTGGAGATAAGGAATCCCTTTCCTCCACCCTGTTCTGCAACTCAGCACAGTTCTGCAGCTGCACACTTAACAGTGATTTAATGCTGAAAGCCCACCACAGTGCAGGTCACCAGCTCTGCACAGCTACTGAATGAGCGCTCCGAGAAGCTCCACCTGTCATCATGTGAGGTATTTCTGACTAAAATGAACACAGCTTAGGCTAAGTTGCAGCAAGTTCAACCAGAGGCCTCTAAATCAAAGCAGTCTTGTTCAACTCCAGCTATACAATGAAATTTATGTAAGAAACCCACAGCAGGTCTTAAGTCCACAATCTGTTTATAAGGTAGTGGGAAAGACAGTTATGACCTTTTATGGCCTCTGCTGGTGCACTGAAATCTCAATTCAGTAACAGCAAACAGAAAATAGAATTCAAAATGTACTTTGATGTAGGACTGGTAATAATAGTCACAAAAGAAGACAACAAATCCTCTTGTTACGATTACCTAAAAGAATGGGGAACCAGCAATGCAAAATAAGTACTGGAACCCAAAACACCATTAAATTTTGAGAATGAATAATAGTTTCTAATGTAATATTTAACTGTTCTTCTGTCTGTCCCCATCTGTGTTCCACTCAAAGAGAAATTACCTCACCTAAAATCATAGAAATCTGCAAATTCCAGGGCAGCATCTCCATCTGTGAAGAGTTTGCAGTGGCTTTTATCATTCATATGAGCTTGGACTGCTTCTGTAGAGTAGAAGGATTTCCCCTTTTCATTGCACCAGATGCAGATTTTCCCAACGCCGACTTTCTCTCCTGCAGAAAACATTGGCATTTCTAATGGTCTGAACAAAATCTCCCTAGTCAGTGATATCTGTGACAAAGCCTTCCCAGCTTGCAGGCAGATAACTTAAGAGGAGCCTCAAGCCCTTAATTTCCAGGATAGCCCTGCTGTTCCTATGCCTTGACCATATGGCCCCACCAGGGACAAGTCTGGCCATTTAAAGATTTCTTGTGACAAAGTATGGGTATTCTCAGTAACAAATTTCACACTTCCAATACATTTTTCTATCAAATACTCCAAAGTGATTTTATTCTCACTATTATTTTTAGACTTGAAGGATGATACATTTTTTCCTTTTAGCCCTCTCGCAACTATTGTAAACCAGAGACAAATACTTGTGACTCACTGGTAGGACAACACAGTTCATATCCACACTTCAGCAACAAAATTCTGTCCCAAATTTCATGTTATGTGAACAACTTTCTCAGCGTCAGAAAACTATGTGAGACGTACAGGGTACATGGCCATGTTTGCTCATCAAAGTTTTCTCTCATTCTCTCTGGAAAGCCTGTGGTTCTGCTCATGATCAAAATATTGATAGCACTCGGATAAAAAAAAAAGCAACCCACACCAAAACATTTGGTGTCATATCCAAATGAAAATAAGCACTACCAGAATATAATGATCCTGACAAAAAATTAGAGCATATTCAATCATACCAAGATACTTGATTAGTCCTCTGAGATCCACAAGATACTCGATGTCTGGAATAAAGAAGCTGTGGATTTTTGTCATATGCGCCACATTTTTTGTGAGAGATCTTGAGTGATGGGGACAGAACAAGCAGTCTGTGACTGGTATGGCCCCAACAGCAGGAATACTTTCAGCCTCTGCCTGCTGTTCCTCTTCTTCTTCTTCCACACTTTCCATCTCTTCATCAGAGCCAATGTCTTCATCAGAATCCATATCTTCCCAGTCTTTTAAAGAAAGTTTTAAAAAAACATATTTATTTTATACTTTTCCCAAGCAAAGTGAAAAAGCCATCATAGAACATATTGCATTTTTTGTTCTTACAGCTAAGTGCCACACAGTCACTTCCAGGTGCAAGAATTTACCATTGCCAGTAAAAGACTTTTTTAAAGATGTACAGCAAAGCAAAAGGTCGCTCATAAAAACTGTTGGCAGTTCTGATACTTTACCCCCTCCATTTTCTCAACTATTAACACTTCACTGCTGTTTCTAGGCCTTAAATTTAATTCACCACAGTGCAAGAACACAAGCATGGCTCATTGAAAAAAGACAACTCTGGTGACATCAAGAAAATACTCATTTCCAGCAGTGAGCAAAACACACTCCTGTTCACACACTTAAAAGAACAGTTAACATTCAGAAACCCACTAAGATTTTCGCAATACAATTTATGACTAACACATTAACACTAGAGACATGCAAGCTGGCTTCTTGTTTAGGTATTACAATGTATGTTCAGAGGTAAATGTTTCTTCTCATGTAAAACAGATTCACTGAACTGCAACTGAAATTTCAAGTGCACAAAACTGCTGTAACAGATCCAGTAACGTGACACAGGGGTTTCAGAAGCTGGAATGAAGTTCCATCTCATTCATACCTGTCCCATTGCTACAGCTCAATCACCCCATTCAACTGCTCCAACAGATGTGTTTGGAGCTGTACTGTCAACAACAGCACTGAAATAAAAGATTAAAAATAACTCTTTTCTGGAAATTCTGAAGCTCTGATCATTTCAGCTGTCTGCTTTCCAGGCTAACCTCCAACACAGAGCTGTATTCACAGAAAAAGGCCACTGGGGTTAAACCCATTTTAACACAGACATCAAAATGCTGAGAAGTGATGCCACACAGGTTAAAGAGCAAACTTTCTCCTCCAGTCTTGGTGGGCAAAGGAAAACAAAATCAAGCACAGTCCCACCTCCGATCAATAGATCAGGAAATGAATTTGGACAATAGCAAATGATCATAATTGGATTTTTGTTCATTTATTTTTCAGAAGTAGTTTCAGGGTAACCTGTTACATTACACTTCTTTAAATGTAACTTCCTTTGACGTTTTATGTGGGAAATACTGCTCTACTATATAAATATACTAGTGACTATTTATACTCAATCTTTACATGCATTAGTGTTTGTCTGCAAGTTGAACAGCTGGCAGTTCAGACACTAACACTCCTTGACTGCAAACATGGGCCACCCTTAAATCCTTTGTTAAACTGAAAATTTAAACAGCAAGATCTTCTGTGATGGAAAATGCTGCACTGCACAGAAGTAGGAGGAAGCTTTTGCTGAAACCATAGTTTACCCCAAGCTATCTTCTGTCAGTGTGTTTACTGCCTTACCTTCCTCATTATCCTCTTCTTCCTCTGCTTGTTGCTTGGCCAGCTTCCTTGCTTGCTGTTCAAACCACTGCAGCCGTGGAGGTATTTCTGGTCTTTCTCTGCTCTGGGACAAGCTGGTGCTTTCCCTGGAAACAGGAGAGCTACTCGCATTACTAGGAGGTAGAGGTGTCTTCTTTGGAGACGAAGATGGTTGGGCTCTGATGGCTTGCTGAATAGCTGTGTTCATCTCATCTTTGTTTAGACTCTCTGGGGCCAGCCCCTTTTCCAGATTCTTCTCATTTAATATTTTCACCTTCTTGCTGACAGCTTGGACAGCTTTCTTCTCCAGCTCCAGGTGCTTCTTGGACTTCAGGTGATTCTCATAAGCATTAAAGGTGGAGAACCTCTTGCTGCACACTGTGCAGTAAGTGGCAGTGATTTTGTTCTGCTCCTCTGTTACTGCCCTCTGTGCCAGGACTCTCTCTTGGAAATTCTCAGCAGTAACAGGAGGCATGTCAGCAACTTTACGCTTCAGGTTGTACCTATGCCAGTCGGTTTTGTAATGGGCACGCTGAATATCACCATCCTTGAAAGCCACTCGGCAAGTGATGCAAGTGTAGGTGGCCATTACTAGAATATGGCAAAAAAAAAAAAAAAAAAATCATGCTAAAAACATTAAGTAACAGACACAAAAAAGCCCCAACACAACATCCTGACAACCTTCTTTTAAGGCAGTGTTAGACACACAGTTCTTGCACAGAATTACATTTATTAACACCAGCATCAGCAATGAGTCCAGTATTCACGGGCAGGAGCACAACAGGAAACTTGATGAACAAAAGACTTTGAGTTTACTTGTACCACAACAGCAGCTGCGCATCCCAGCCCTGGATGCAGAACCCGCTGTGCCTGCTAGGACTGGGATGTATGAGAGGGCCCCCACTCACAGCAACAGTATTTCAAAAGCTCTATGCTTTTCACTGAAGATCAGTGACTAGAGGTTCTTAACAAGGTCATGTTCTGCCAACTGTAAGACTTTGAGGAGACCAGTGATTCCTCAGAAACAAGGGTAAAAAGGGAAAATCTGCTTACAGTCTATTATCTATTTTCCACAGCCTTTTTAAATGGCAAAAAAATAGTTACCGCATTTAAAAAATAATGCTTTCTTAGCTACTTTGGAGCAATGTAGTGTTGACAAGACTTTATCCTGCAGAGCTGCTCATCTGGAGACGCAGTCAGTCATGCCTGGATCTAGCAATTGAAGCCACTGCTAACCCTGGTCTCCCTCCACACTGTCCACTGATGCTGTCCTTTCCAAACCCATACATTTCCTTCCTTCTCAGTGCTTAATGAAACTTAGCTTTTTCATTTTTTTAAAAACAAATTTGATGGAATCAACTGAATGCTCCAAAAGCAAAGAGCAAAAAAAGCAAATGCTCCAAAAGCAAAAAAGTCTCTAAAATTCATTTCCCACACTGGAGATCACAGAAAACACTCCCATTGTTTAACTGATTTAGAAAAACTATGGCTTAAACTGGAGAAAAAAGAAATAATACGTCAGCATGAGGGGGTCTGAAGGCAGGGAGAGGAAATGCAGCCCCTCCCTGAAGCTACTAACAGGGAGAAGCAATGAATATAGAGTCAAAACACACATTATGAAATGCACATTCCCTGGAACCACTGGGCTCCTTACTTATTATTGCTTGTGCTATTTACAGTGCAATAGTGAAAGGGGGATGCAGAAAATAAAGGCCAGATCATCTGGAGTACTGTAAGCATCTACTCAATATAACAGCTGCTTTTTGTGCTTCAGGACAAATGTGCTCTCTGCTCCCTGACAGATCCCAAGTATTCCCTGAGGCGTTCCCCTGCCACCTGGAGCTCTCCCTGCCCTTCTTCCCAGCCAAGCACCAACCTTTGCCATAAGTCGCTGACTCAGAGTCACGCTGGCTGTGGGTGACAAGCCCCTTGCTGGACCCTACGGCAGAACGCTCCGTCCGTGACGGACAGACAGAAGCTACAAGCTACATTACCACATTTAATGAAATGTGAAATAATAACATGGGGCATTTAACAACACCCAACCTCCCCCAGCTCCGCCCCACCCAAAGAAAGCATCTTAGAAGAAGAGGTGTGTAACTAAGAGAAGCTAAAGCCATAAACCTTCACCTCTGACTATTATGGGAGATGTGTTCACAAGTCAAACTGCAGGAAACAGAGAAATCCCGCGTAGTTACACAGCACCTGCCCGTGACCCGCCTGCATTTTCCCCTCCCGTCTTAAGCGCCAGGGCCGAAGCCTCGAGTCCCGCCTTGTGTGGGACTCAGGAAAACCAAACCCCAGGCACCCACAAGCCCGCAGCACAGCCAAGCCCTTCCAGCCAAATGGCGATCTCCCTTCAGGCTCTTTATTACGGCTGATTTTTCGGCAGGCAGCAGCCGGAATCCACTAGGCCAGGCGTGGACCTGGCCGGGATCACAGGGAGCATGCGTCCCAAGGGAGCGCAGCCGGCTCGGCCGGCCACGTCGCCTGCCCACCGCTCCCCCCGCCGGCTCAGGCCGGTCCATGCCATGCCGTGCCATCCCGTCCCGTCCCATCCCGTGCTATCCCGCCGGGACACGCACCTGCGGCCGGAGTAGAGTGCAATGGGGCAATGCGGGGTGCGGGGCAGGGCGCGCGGGCAGGAAGCGGCCGCGCGGCGTCCGGCGGGGTGGCCCGCGCGCGCATCCTGGCGGCCGGAGGGCGCGGGCACGGGCGGCGCCCGAGGGGACGCGGCGGCGGCGGGAGCGCCGCTCCACGGGCCGGGCCGGGGGTGGCTCTTCGCCTCCCGTTGGTTTGGTTTGGTTCGGTGGTGTTTCTTTTTGGTTTGTGTGTTTGGTTGTTTTCACGGAATAAGGTTGGAAAAGATGTCTCCGATCATCGAGTCCAACCTGTGGCCGAACACCGCCTTGTCAACTAGACCACGGCACTCGGTGCCACGCCCCGTCTGTCCTGGAACACCGCCAGGGACGGTGACTCCGCCGGGTCCCTGGGCAACCCTTTCCAGTACCCGATCGTCCTTCCCGTGAAGAAATTCTTCCCGATGACCAACCTAAATCTCCCTGGTTGCAGCTTACGACTGTCTTCTTGTCCTGTCACTGGTTACCTGGGGGGAAGAGACTAAACCCCATCTGGCTAGAACCTTCTTTCAGGTAGTTGTAGAGAGTGATAAGGTCACCCCGTTTGTAGTTAGAGGGTTTATTTCCATTTCTGGGAGCAAATGCACGATGAGATGATAAAAGATAAAAACTAACCCATATTTATTAACACAATCAATATAATAGTTCCATGTTTACAAAACAGTGATCAGGCAGGTAAAGTGCTGCAGAATACTTAAATACGGACATTTTGTAATTCTCCAGTTTCTGGTTGTCCAGGTGGGGACTACTCAGACTGCGACGCTGCTCATGTGGTGAGAACAGATGTGGAGACTACAGGGATTTATTTGTTCAGAAAGCTGGGACAGCCTGGCAAAAGTGCACAATGAACACAGAACAAGTAGAACAAGTATCTCTTCACATCCTGTTACTTTGGGTTACAATTATTTAACCTCCTCTGCATAGAACAGCATTTTTTTCCAACTAACAAACAGAAGAGTGGTCAGTAAGTGTGTGGTACATATGCATGGAAACCCCGTGTTCTGGGAACAGGTGGTTTTACACTGGATTTGACACACCAAAGGCCACCAATCTGATGGTGATCCTGTCACTCGTGTACTGCTGACACAAGGGGAAATTTTCAGAGTACAAAAGAGTAGCCTGCATCCCTGCCCTGACATATGTCCTTTTCTTCCATCAGGATGCGTGAAGAAGCCACTGCAGAGCACGAGAGGGTGAACCCTTTGCTGCCAGGTAAGTGCACACACACACATCACAAGCAGCACTGATCCCAGGTGCAAGGCAGGATCACACACTGTTACCCCATGGCATGGGCTCACACTATGCCCTCTGCACTGCCCATGTGCCTTTTGACTGGCAATCACATGCAAGGATTTTCCATGGAAAGACCACATGTTTCAAAGCTATGTGTTCCCTTATACCCCCTTGCCTGGCTTCCTGTCCAGCCATTCCATTTGAAGGATGGGAAGGTGACAACAGTGCTCGGTAGGAAAGACGCTGCAGACCATTGTGACAGGAATTTCTAAGGAACTGCCATTTCTTTGCTGCTGCTATAATACAGCAAAAGGAAGTTTTTTCAAGGGATTTCCAACTGAGGGCACAGTGGAGAGGATCCACAAAGGAGAGAAACATTTTCTTTGCGTTTTGCTTGCAAACTGCTGGCAGTGGAATGTATTGTGTCCATGGGAAGTGTTTCTTACATGTGGTTGTGTGGAAGGGAAGAGAGAATTTCCTGCAGAAAATTAGACATCTTTTTACTACCTGAGGAAGAATATTAAATGTTACAGAATTACATCCTTCCCATTACACAGTATTTAGGGGCTTGAATGTAATTGACTATCATGACAGCAGAAAAAAAAAATCTAAAAACTCTCATATAAGTAACTATGTCCCTAACTTTAATGATTTATTTGTTCAAGTTTTGGTTGTTTTTTTCTTTCTGGAAAAAAAAAAAGAGTCATACTGAAGAACAATCAATCTATTTACCTATCTTGAAACCAGTCTGAGAAACTCCTCCAATTGCTTTTCTTTCTGATCTTTCTTTCTTTCTATTATTCTAGAAGAGTGCCCCTGTGTTACATACTTTCATAACCATGAGTATTTTCCATAAAACAACAATAAAGTGCACACTGTTAAATGCCACCATTGACAGCCAGCTAGTCTGTCCTGCCAGTCTGCTCCAGAAAAGCCTGTGAAGGACTTCTCCCTCCCTCCTGCCTCTCCCTGTCCCGCAGCCTATTTCCCCTTCTGGCAACAGTACTCCTGGACCAGAAAGCACACAATTGTTTGGGCATCCTTCATCAGCAACTTGGACCTGTACTCTTTTAACTGTACAGATTGTCCTAAAATGTGTCAAGGAAATGAGGCTAAGTCATCTGAGAACTTCTTAAACTCACTGATTTTCCAAAAAAATTTTTTGGAATTTTTAAAATTTTGGCTGAGTATTTGATTTTTTTTTTAAAATTTGTTTTTTCCAAATGAGAAGAACAATCTGGTGAAAGCTAAAGAAAAAACTTAGCAACTAATTCTGTGGAAGTGATGTGGGCCATGTTTTCTAATGATTTCCAGAAACTCAGGTGTTGAGATACTGTAATTTGAAAGCTGTATCTTGTGGGATCTATATCCAGCATCCACTTATTTCATAATGTATTTGATAATGAAGGCACAGGCTTACCCTTTTACTTGTAAAGGACAGCAAACACAGTCAAATGCATTACTGACACAAAAAGTACAAGCAACAATAAAGCTAGTGTCAAAACATCTCGGCATCCTTCCTTTTACTATACTCTTTGGCCATCTGCCTATTCTTCCACCTCAAAAGGAAAAAAAAATACAAAATGAAGTTAATTTCAAACACAGGTTTACCTACACATATATGTTAGTGGAAGATTTTTATCATCTGTTGCTGTACTTTTTGAGGGTCCTAGATGACAGTATTTACCTCTTCAAATGCCAGCAAATGGAAATTTACTTGAGTAGTAGTAGCAGCTGACATGGTCCCTCAACTTTGCTACTGGTTTACATCACATCAAAAAAGCTAGCTTTACTTCTTACTTCTCTTGGATTACTATTGCTTGGTATAGCAATGCAGTTTTGTCACAGGTGAACAAAAAAGCCCAAGAAAAATAAGTTATCTGCTTGAAATCCCATGCCACTCACTCGGCATGTGTGGACTTTAAACTGGCAAATAGTTTAAACAAGTTCTTTTTTTGTTTTAAATTACATGCCAAGAAGAAGATTCTGAGTGTCTTCTCTAGCAGCTGACCTCCCCAAATGCTTCTAAGTATAAATAATCACCTTGCAACAAAACTTTTGTTGCAAGTGGAAGCAGCTATCATGGGAAAAAAAGCCAAACCAAAACCTACAGAATCTAAACATAAGGAAGTGGCGCCTAAAAAGCCTTTTTGCTTTTTTTTTTTAAATCTCTAATCTCTACTCCAAACAATAACTACCCTCACCTGCTCCCAAAAAGGTTGTTCAGTTTACAGAATATTAACTTTTAAACATAAAGTTTCATTGGCTGACTTCACATGGTCAATACTGCCAAGGGCCAGACTCCATCAAGGAACACAGCAGGTGGTCATATAACATGCCACTTTACAACTCTACAAGCCTATAACAGCAAAAACCTTGGAAATGCATCATCATATCCAAAATAATTCAAATGTTTTAAGTATGAAATCTTGGGGGTTTATAGTGTTCCACACATATTTAAACTTGAATTGTGTCAGTTAATGTGTTTCATATATAGTAGATGCACTACTATAATGCAGGGATCCATACTTTTTGTTAGGATTGAAGGAGGTGAGATACAGTTCATCTTACTGCAGCCCTCTGGTAACTTGCCCTCACAATATGAGTCATTAATTGTATTACATGATCGGAAAACTAGGGTAAATAAACTGCTGATATTGGAAATTTGGCTCAGGACCCCAAAATAGATGGTTGGCAAAATGGTAAAAGAAATCTCTCCCCAAGCTATTTTGAACAACTGATTTCCACCACGCATTTGCAACCAAAAAGTGGATAGAGAATTCATTTCCATGTTATTACATTGAGGTATAACTACCAGAAACATTAAACTATCAGTATTAGCTGATACTTATCCAGTTAATTCATTCTGCATAAGGGAAATTATTACAACACATCTAAAGGGATAGTTAAAGCTTACAGCTCAGAATTTTCTTCTGTCTTTTTTTTGTTTTTGTTTTGTAGTATTTAATGGTGGGTTCTTTTGTGTTTTATGTTTAGTTTCTTCTGTGTTACCAGCTGCAACTTCAAGGTTAATGACTTCCAAGCAGATTTGAAAGGAAGCCTGAAGACTTTTTCTTTTCCTGGGATTCTGCTTCTTGACCTTGTGAAAGTCCCAATTCTTTCTCAATCTGCTCTAGCTCAGACTGGTCAAGCAGTTCAAAATCATCGGCTTCCTCTGTGTCTGTCTCCTCGCTCAAACTGGGCACTGCCTGTGAGGGAGCTTGCTGTAGGGCCTGCAGCTGGTCCTTGATGGCAGCAGACACCGCAGCCGTGATGACATCACCAGCAAGTCCACTCATTAAATTAAAGGTTTGGTCACTAGTCAAAGGCAAGGACAGCCCTGCAGTGGATGGTCTCTCTTTACTCTGTCTGGAAGCATGATCTGCCTTGACATCAGTTTGCTCTTTCCTTCGTTTTTGCTGGGTGGGCAAACTGATGCTTGAGTCGTCATCGTTTGTGCCGGCACCATTTTCTAAAGAGGGAAACTCTAAAAGATCTCTAGTGAAAGCTTCTTCATGATCACTGGGTCGGTCAAAATCTATTACAGGGTTAACAGAAGAAAACAGCATTAGCACTCACAAAAGGTTTCCCCAAAAGGCAGCCACATGTAACAATGCAAGTAGCAAGTGTTCTTCTGAATACATTTATTAATCCCTACTCTAGTAGTTCACTACTAGAAGGAGCTTTATGTGACATCTAAAACAAAATGGTTTTGAGGTCATAAATCTAGCACCACAAATCAGCTGGTATCAACCTAACTATTTGAACAAAATAACTTTTTAAAGCATCTATCTGTAATGAAATAACCCATGCAAATCTTCAGCACAGCTATATCTAAATATACCAACCACATGAAGTCCTAAAATTTATTTCTCTTCACAATATATATAAACTACAAATATGTAAACATGTAAGGATGTGTTACAAGCTTTTAACATGCATATGGAGTAATAGAAAGAATGTTTAAATAAAGTATAAAACTAATGTAAAGACTAATTTATTTTTCCTTTCTTGGCCAATGCTTGTATTAAAAAGGAAACAGAAAATGGAAACTCTTCAGATGATTAGAATTATTTCATGTTGTCAAGAGGATAAAAAGCAGGATGTAATCAACATTAGATTTTAAAGGCTGCATTAATGAATGACACAATATTCGTTGTTAGAAATATGTAAAACATACCATGTATGTTTTACATGTGGAGTACATGGCCTGTGGGAGAGCCTAAATCAGCACAAGCGAATACTTTCATCAAGTATTTGAATGAGAAGGTAAAAAGTAATCAGTCTGAACTTACTTTCTACGAAAACAAGCAATAGGAGCTTGTTGTAGGAGCATTTATAAGGGTTAAGGAAATAAATCCTAAAAATTACTCATATGTCATTTTCTCCATTTTCTTTAGTAAAGACAGGCTGAGAAGGTGAGGAGAGTTGTGCTGCATGCAGAGTGGTGGCCCAAATGCACAGAACTTTGACAGGAGATGAGCCAGTCCTCGAATGCATCCCATTTGGTCTTGCACTTCAGTGTATGTCCCATTTGCTGAAATGCTCCATGGAAAAGAAGAGCTGATATTATTTTTCACTTAGCAAGGCTTTGAATAGAGTTTGCCACATGATCCTTACAGCCAAGCTGGTGAACAAACAGGGTAAGAGAACTGTAAGGTTGGTGGAAAAGTGGCTGGACTGCAGGGGTCAAAGGCTTCAGCAGCGACACAAGCTACAGCTGGAGGCTGGTTATTGGTGTCTGTCACAGGGACTGAAACCAGCACTGTTCAAAGTTTTTATTAATGACTTAGATGACAGGCACTCTGCAAGTTCATGGGCAGAAAGGAATTGCTGTGAGGCACATGTATTTGATATTCTGGAGGTCAGGATGCCTTCAAAGGGACAGTACAGGCTGGGGGCAACAAGAAAAGCAGCTTTCCAGAAAAAGCTCTGTAGGCAGCAAGTCAGTGGTATGCCCTTGTAGCAAGGAAGGCCAAACATACTAAGCTCTAGTAGCAAAATTGAAGGCAGAAAGTCAGTGGAAGGGATTTTCCTCCTCTATTCAGCAACTGAGCGTACACATTGAAGTACTTTGCCCAGTTTTGACATCTCCAGTCTTAGACAGACTGGACCCATGGAGGACCAGCATGGTTATTTAGGGGTCTAGAAAACAGGATGTATGTAGATACTGAGAGAATGGGCCTTGTTTGGCCCCAAAAGAAGATAGCAAATGGGGAAATCAGTTTAACTGCTGAATGGGAAGGTAGAGAGAAGATGAGCCTGGCTATTCTAGTGCACAGTAAAAGGATCAGAGTAAACTGACACAAACTGGAACGTGGGGAAATTTTGACTCACTATGAGAAGAAAACCTCTTCATCATGAGGGTAAGCAAATATTGAAAAAGGCTTCCAGGGAAGTTGCTGAATCTCTACCACTAGAGGTGTTCAGAATTAAAGTGGTCAAAGCCCTGAGAAACTTCATAAAGCTTTCATGAAGAGCTTTGAACCTGCTTTAGATAAGAAGATAGATGAGATGAATGACAATTGCTTTTTACAACTTATGGTTCTGTGATCATACAATGCTGCCTATTTATAACTTGAAATTTTAGGAAAATAACTTAAATTATTAATTTGCCCTGTAGTGTCAACCTGCTTGCCATTTACAAGGAACTTTTCCTAGGAGAAATGCAAGATGAGCAGAACAACAGATCCACAGGTGAGTTTACATCAAACTACTGTCGTCCTTAATCTTTATTCCAGCAAAGTGTTTACTGATGGCTTGGTCTGTACAAAGTAAGAACTTTTTTCTGGTGAAGATCAAGACGAGAATCTTTTGAGAATCTCTTTGAGAATCTTTTCGTAGTCTAAGTCTTCATAGGCTCATTGCTGGCTGTCTTCATTTCTAGTAGTAAAACTTGTTAATACTGATAATACTTTCTTTAATTGGCTGTTTAACTGTGTATTCACTGTTTCATTCTCAGCTTTTATTTGCTTAGCTTACCCACAAAAGCAATGGTAGCAATTTTAAAAGGTTTATTTGCTTAAAAGGTTTGGTAGAAGAGAGTGCTACATCTGGCATGAATGTGTTGGTTTTTACCAGGCACTACTTATTTATTTAGACACTTGCTGATGTACTTCAACATTTTTAAGATGAAGACAGTTCTTACAGAAGATATATCCAAAACTATACAAAACACTAAGATTAACCTTAAATTCATTTCAGAGAGAAAAGCAACAACCCCAAAACCTTCTGGCCTCAAATTGTCTAATAGTTTCGAGGTAATTTTTATGTCTGGAATCCACTGGTGATATAGATTAAACTGTTACATACCATCAGATGTGTCTGTCTGTGGAGAATACCCCTCGGATAAGTTAAAGGTCCCATTATCAGTCCAGGATACTTCTGAGACATCTGTGTCAGATACTGACAGCTCTTTGGCAACGATTGCAGGACTAACCTACACAGAAAACAGTCCCATACATGGTATTATATTTTTTTAAAAATCACACTACAGAAAGCCAATGCTTAGAGATTGAAAAAAATCCCTAGCAACATAAATCAGCTCCTCTTTAAGCCTTAATTGAAGAAACATGAAAATACTATACAATGCTTAGAAGCATCCCTCTTTGTAATAACTAAAGGCTGTATTATACTAAAGAAGCATAGAAAATTCCAGTTACTGTAATGAAAGCAAAATGAGCCTGCAAATACAAAATGTGCTTAATGTAACAAAATGTTAACCTGGACCAGAAAAACCAGCCAAATATCTATAAGACCATCAACAATTAGTGGAACAAAAATATAATTTTCCTTTACCAATTTATTGAACAATATTTAATTATGTCAGCTACAAATGTTTATCCCATGGGATATTTTCTTTTTCCCCCCAGCACAAAACCACCTCCAAAGCAATCCCTGTCAAAGTCAGGCTTTATACACTATTGATCAAATACTGCGTAATAGTTCCTATTAAATTTTTTTTTTAACTATCAATTGGTATTCTGGTTATAACAGAAAAAGCTTTGCCATACAGTCATTTAGAATACTAGGAAAAAAAAGAGAAATTTGAATGTTCTCATACATATCTAGAAAGATTTTATAGATAATATACCTATTTACACCATCATTGAAAATTATTAGACAAGTGTTTACAAAAATATCTGACAAATTACATGGAACCACTATAGCTTTCTATTAATGTTTCTCTTTTGTATTTTAATTTGATAAAAACCAACTGCAATTTCAGTGTTGGAAATAAAAGGAACCACCTTTGCTTTTAAATATTCATGTAATCATTCTAAAGCCAATACAAAATAAACACATTCTTAACTCAGGAGGGCAATGAAACCATTACCTTGAAGGCCAGAAGTCACAAATGCAGTAGGTTGATTTGTATAAGGCTAAAGGTGGAGACTGTGAATCACTTCTAAAACATACTGCTTAGTTCAGGAAAACAGCCTCCTGGGGAGGGCAAAGTCTTCCACAGAAGAGCAGAGACAGCAATCTAGATAGCTTCCCATTATCTATATAGATTTTAAAAGCAAGACAGGGCTGACTGAAAAAAAGTCACCTTAGGACACAGAGCTGATATGTCTAATTCACTGTCATCTTCTGTGGGTCTTGTTTTTGCTGTTTCTGAAAGAAAAAAGATATATTTTTATCCTACTCATGACAATGGATTTCCAGGTTCAGTGTGTGTTCTCTGTCACACATCTTGTGTAGCACAATAACTCTCCACCTGCTGACACAGTGCATCATTTATGTGCCATGCTATTAGGGAAACAAGCCTGACTGAGAGACTGGCTGCTTATCAAAATACAGCAACCACAGTGGGAGAAAGAATGTTATTCTGAATATATTCCAGTAGATCTGTTTACCTGCACTATACTTCCTTCAGGAGCCTTTGTTGCTCACTAGAATGTCATCTGCCCTGTCAAATGGATATCTCTCTTTTAGACTACACTGCTGGTAAAATGCAAAGGTGTAATGTGTTGTTAGAACAGGCTGTGTAGTTGTCCCCCCACATTACTTTTACATGAGAATGTGCAATTTTCTTGATAATTGCATGTAATCTTCATTCATAAACCCCTTCTTCTACCAACACCTAGCTACCCTGCATTCACAGTCATATGCAAATATGCATACAAAGCATCCTCTGAAGGTAGAATGTTGCTCTTTACAGATAAACAGAGATACAAATTTTGACTCCTCTGTCTGAGAATCTTTTAAACCAATATAAAATTAAAAACACAATCAAAGTGTTCTTGGTTGCTTCTTCCAGCAACTTGCTCTTTCCTGTCTTGTGCCAACACAAGGTTTGTGAGCCCATGTGGTGAACCCAAGAGGCAAAACAAGGTAGGGAACTTGTCTGTGTGAAATTAAACTGGAGGATGAAATGCAGGAAAGAACGAATCTAACCTCAACAATTTTCCCAGTGCTGGCTTCTCTGCCAGTTTCACTTGAAAACTGAACAAGTAGAATAATGCATGAAAGAAAATTTCCAATGCATTATTCCTTATTTTCAATTACTATCATATTACATATAAAAGAAGGGGATAAGTCACATGGTGGTTCTCCTTGGGTCTAGGAACAATACATTGTATAAGGAATGGTATCATGATTACAAGAAATGCATGTTTTAAAGCAGATATTAAGTTTACTGATGTAGCACTAATTTTAAAAGGGTAGGCTACCTGCAAGTAGTGTGATTACACCACAAAATTTTAATTACCAAAACTGGAGCATGCACAAGAAACAAACTAACATTATTCATAAGCAGATTTTCCTTGAAATAGCTTTACTATTTAAAATCTAAAAGTTTCCAGTATTAGAAAGATACTGGGTGAGATATGTGAGATTTTCTTTTAAATTGATTTCCCCCCTTTCCACATAGAAACTCGGATTAAGTCGTAGCTGATATCCTGTGGCAATTCTTACATGCTTTTGAAATATTTGGAGAAGAAAACAATTTTTTTTTTCTGGAGGGAGTAAAACCCAGGCAGATTTAGATACAGGAACAGAGTTTGATCTCTTAGTGAAAATTCTGTTATGTACTTTGAGACTCTTGAATGAGTCTCTCTGTTGGTAAGTTTGCCTTATCTAAAGAGAGATAAGCATTGCAAGCTTACAGCAAGTAGGTTTTTTCTGAGAATTTATAAGCAGTGCATCTAATCACATACAATGAGCTGGCCTTGTTTCTTTCCATGAAGTAATGATTTCATTATTATCATACCCAGAATATTTGACATACATTGTCACTCCTTATAAAGCTAGTAACAGTAGCCAGGTTCAAAGCAAGAAATATCTCTACAATTGGCTTCTCAGGACAAACCAAACTTTCTGCAAGAGATAAAATGCTCTGCATACAGAAATACAATAATAATATATAATAATATATGGGACTATAATTAAATACTCACCAGATCTTTCTTTTTTCTTCTGGTTGATATATTCCACTATTCCAAAATCTAGTTTCATCAGAACAGCCTTTATTTTGCTGCACAGTTTCTGTCCAAGTTCATTGCACTTAAGGAAGGGACATAAAAAGGCACACAATACTATGATAAAAATGAAGACAGAGAAAAAAATGGTATTGAAATACTGCCGTATAAGAAGTTACTCAAAAATCTTAAACAATGCTTTGCGTAAGATAACTACTAACTTTACATAATACAGTTAGTTTTACATAAAAATGCATTGTGAAATACCCATGTCAGGCACTTTTAAGATAAAATCCAGCTTTCAGGAGCCATTCCTACTCATCACAGAAAATGCCATTATATTCATACCAATTGACATCTTTTTTATTATCAGTAAGACACAATTTATGGTCATTATAACATCTATCATTACCTTGACTAAGTCTGATTTTGATATCTCAACTTGACAAAAGTGACAGTGCAACATTGTGCCAGAATCAATACACTGAAAAATTTGTAAGCTGACTTCCACGAGACAAAACATTGTAAACAAATTCTTTCTTATATCTAACCTAAAATCACCCTCCTTCAGTTTAAAACCATTGCCTCTTGCGCTGTTGCAGAAGGCACTGATCAAATGTTTGTCCCCAGCTTTCTTAAAAGCCCTCTTTAGGAACTGAAAGGTCTCTCCCCAGAGTATTCTCTTCTCCAGGCTGAACATCCCCAACCTGCTCAGCCTGTTTTCATAGGAGAGGTGCTAGGGCCCTCTGATAATCTCCATGTTCTCTCCTTTGGACTCAACAGGTCCATGTCCTTCCTGTGCTGGAGAGCCCCAGGACTCCAGGTGGGGTGTCACCAGAGCAGAGTTAGGGGAGCAGAATCCCCTCTCTACCACCCTCCCCTGCTGCCCACGCTGCTTTGGATGCAGCCCAGGACATGTTTGGCTCTCTGGGCTGTGAGTGCACATGGCTGGGTCATGTCCAACCTCTCATCCACCAGCACCTCCAAATCCTTCTGGGCAGGGCTGCTCTGATCTGTTCATCCTCCAGCCTGGGTTGGTACCAGGGTTTACCCCAACCCAGGAGCAGCACCTTGCCCTTGGTCTTAAAAAACCTCATGAGATTCCCATAGGCTGGCCCATTTATTGAGCTTGTCCATGTCCCTCTAGATGGCATCCTGTCCCTCAGACTTGTCAACTGCACCACAGAGATTGGTGTCTTCTGCAAACTTGCACCAGTGTGTAAACAAGTATATAAATAAATAAATAGTCCCTACACAGAGACCAAATAATGAACACTACACACATACAAAAATCATGACTGGAAAAGAGACCATACTTACACAAGACATAGGAGAGGACAACTCCAGGAATGTAACTCCCCAAGACAGTGAAAAATGTACATATGCTGCAGACTAGTAGGCAAAACTGGCAAAAACATTAAAATACACCATTAACACTTTCAATTAAATGATTAGGTCATTTTGCAAAAGAAAGATGTTGCATGCTAATAAAATCTAGAATGCAGTGCAAAATTGAAGTTTGTTTTTAAAAATTGGCAATTAACACTTTCGGTGAAAAGCATCAAACAGTCCATTTTGGATAATTAGGTATGCATCCCCTCTTCTACCATAAAAATATGCTATTTTTATTCATTTACTGTAAGGCTTTAACAAGCTCATGTTTACTGCTAAAATTACTAGAAATTATACCTTCATTGTGTGAAAATAGGCTGGACAATTTATATGCAGGGAAAAGCCCAACTCACTAATTGTAATATGACAATGCATGCTTGCTGCATGTGTAAAAAGCAAAACATCCTTCCTCCAGCTACAGCTCTCTCCCCTGTTGTGTTACTTCGTGAAACTATTTTCTCTCATATGCTGGCAAGCAATGTCTCGATGCTTGTTGGCTGCTCTAGTACCACTGTTAATGACAAGGCTGAGCCAAATTTTCAATATAAAATTTGAGATTTGGCCTTTGTGGTGACTGAGACATAACAGTGCATTTTTCACCACTGCACAGTGGTCAGCTGATCTGTTGAAAGCTTGCAGTAAGGATCCATTTGCTTTTGGAGCTGAATTGCAATAATATTATTAATTCAAATAAATGTTGCAGTAATAAGCATTACTACCTAATTTGCTTCTAATCACAACAGTAAAATAATGGCATGGCTTAGAGAATGAGGTCAAGGAAAAGAAGGGAAAACATGCTATCAAAATTGTATTTTCTAAACTAGTATTAGATATCTCTTAGCATAACTACATGTTACTGTCATGTTACCACATTACTGATACCACATTTCCTTACTTCTCTATAAACTTCTTTTAAATGTGACTTTATTGTCCAAACATACAACTGCTCTTTATAGAATTTTTTTTCTACATAATTTTCACTCTTCAATAATTTTCATTTTTTTTTCATCCAGTTACTCATCTGTATTCTCAAGTCTAAACTGCTAATATTTGAGTGTGGTCCTACATACTTTCTATCTGCTAATTCTGAATGACCTTCTTTCAGAACAGATTCTCTGGCAAAATTAAGAGAGATTAAAAGAGGAAAACAGGGCTTGTAGCTTTCTTTTAACTTGTATTTAGCAATACAAATATAAAAATGTAATCTGTTATTATAATAATATATGTTTACTTTATTTATATTTCTCTTTGGGAAAAAAGACTAGAACTACATGATAATATTCTTCCAAACTAGAGGAAAAAAAGCCTTACTCTTGCCTTGCCTCTTCATGAGCTGGGTTCTCCAGCTCAGTCTTCCCAGTAAAAAAGGGGGAAATCACCAACTATTAGTATATAGAAGAAAAATTGCCACAATAAAGTATGAGGAACTCTCTTCATGCAGCTATTCCTGAAAACTACACTTATTTGAGGAAAAAAAAAAAGTGTATGTTTAGGAACATGCTTATTCTTTGTTTCTCAAGTTTTTATTAAATTGTGGTGTTTTAAATTTCTGTTTAAAAGTCCATGGAATAACTGGTGAAGTTCCAACAGCTGTAAGTGGATGGACTGTATTGCTATAAACTTTACTGTGAACAGCTTTTCCAGCTGACTACCTACCCATATTCTTCACAGGAAAAAAAAAAAAAATTAACAGAAAATCATGACTGTGGGAGAATGTACTTTTTTTTTTGCTTGTTCACTTGGTTTTTTTTCTAAATCTATCTCACCTTTTTATTAAATCTTATAGAACTGTAAATCTTACTGGGGAGTGCTTACCTTGCCAGGGTTTTGTTCCTTAAAGTGGGACATTTCTTGAAGAAATACAAATAAATTCATCAGTGTTTCTGAAATGCACTGATTTATTCTGGGTCTGTAGTCTTGATTAGAATCGGTGAATTTCCAGCTGAGTAAAACAAACAAAAATACCCGACTTTTTTTAGAGTTCATATGGAAGTTGAAGCTGGTTGAAAACATCATGTAAAGTCTTAGCCTCTGGCAATCCAATGGCTGTTGCTATGCTAGAAACACCTGTGTTTGTTTCTTCGTATTTTATCTTCTAAATTGATCTAATTTGATCTTCTTAACTAAAAATAAATTAATCTGTTCAGTAGTAGCAGTTTTCAGTCCATAAAAAATTACTGCTTATTCATTCTTGTCATATGAAGACATTGAGTTGAAGGCACAGTTGTCATCTAAATCAAGCAACTGACCCCAAACTTGTTTTTAAATACTATTTTTAATTTTAAAAATATACCACAGTACTTTTTATTGCCACAACATGGCCACACATATTAATACATTTCATTTTATGCATTTAATCCTTGTGCTTTTTCTTTTCTATTTTTTAATCTTGTTCTGCAAACTATGATAATGAAATTGCCACCCAACCTAGAAAAAAATAAATTGCTCTTGGAGTCTTGATGTTTACATTAATTTTCCTACTGAATTTTAGTTTTTCTATTATATTGAAAGGACTGCTTCAAAAGCTTATCTTATGACTGTTCAGTCCTTTAAACAAAATAACAACATCCCCCTGCCAAAAAAAAAAAAAAAAAAACCAAAAAAAAAAAACCCGTACCAAAGAATTTTCAGAAAACCATGAGATAACATATGTGTCTGTCACATTTGGGGCTTGATGAGTTTATCCAATATTGAGCTTAAATGGTCACATCGGATACCTTTGTGGAGTAAACAGAGCATCAACAAACCTGGTTTATGAAGCAACAAAAAATAATAAAGACATGCACAGACAAGTCAATGTCAAGTCAAACTGGCACAAAGAATGGATGAACCACTGTGCAAACAGAGAATCTGAAGACAATTCGACACCAACTTTACTGAGTAACTTTTCACATAACGCACTGCTGTGCACACACAGCTTTGATCGCAGTGAATGCAAGCCAGCCATGAGCAACTCTGGTCATTTCACTGAGATATATAACTCATTACATGTCTAATGCATTAATAGTAAACGTTTTGTCACAAGTAGATTGAATTACAAGATAAATAAAAATCTACATTATGAAAAAATGACTGTATACGGGTCGATGCACAGCCATCAGGGGACACACAGACGGCCAGATCAAACTCCCATCAGCTACACGCAGTCTCTGCAGCCTCGCTTTTGTAAAAGGGCACGATTCGGTCAAAAATGATCAGTGAAGACCCTTTCCTGCCTCCCGGCTGTCCTCGTTCGCCGCGAGGCGGTGGCACAACCGCGGGGACCAGCCAGGGACGGGAGGGGCGGAGGGACACGGCGGGGGACACTGCCCGGGCACCGCCACCTGCCTGAAACAGCGGCTCCAGCCACAGGGTAAGGTTCATTAAAGTCCGAACCCCAAAACTGGTGCCCTGTTCCTGAAGCATTATAGTATTGATGGTGTTGCAATGGTAAGATTTCCTCTTACACTACAAATATCAGGGTGAGGGGTTTTTCCTCCCCTTTGAGAAAAACAAACAACGAAGTATTTAAAACAGCGCACCTGAAATGCGCAGAGCCCTGTGTCTTGGACTAGGTGACTTCTGCAATTTCCCAGCCATGCAAGGCACTGAATGCAGATATTTGCCCACGAGAGAGGATGCAAATCAAACCATAACATAAGTCAGAGAGCTCACTGCAGTAACCCAGCTGGAGGGATGAGCAACCTTACACAGAACTCTCTGTCTGCATCCCACCCACAGTAGAGATTTCAATTTCCATCATCCCTGATAGTGGCTTCAGGAAAGTATTATACAAGGGTTTTGGTTTATGGGAACTGCAATTCGTATAGATAGGCTACTCCCCCTAAAGAAACACTGTACTTACTTTCTGTAAATAATTCTACAGCATTAATAATAAGTTTTTAAGATCTTCCCATTTATTCCATTACTGAAAACTACTATTATGACAGTGCTCTGAATAATAAAATCCTTTTACAGAATTTTACTACTAACCTTGATTTGAAATTGTTGACAATCAAAGTAGAACTTTGTGGAAGCATAAAGCAAAAATGAACAGGCCTGATGCCTGCTATTAAATTAGAGCTTTGAAAAACTTGGGACAACTTTAATAATTTTAAGCTGACAGCAAAAACAGAGGGGGGGAAAGACAAAAGCAGAAAGTACAGTAAAAATGCAAACTATTTTCACCACTAATATAAAGACAATATAGGTTAAAGAGAATGAGCTATAACAAGGCACAATGGGATAACTAGTAACAATTCAAAAACAAAACTGCAAATTATGAAGAAAAAGTGCTCATTTGCAGAAAAAATTCTTTGCAGTTGCCTTGCTTGGTGATAGTGATGCTTTCTTTAGCCAAGTTTTTGAAAGCATGAGCTGCAGTGCAGATAAAACATTTTGCTATATGCTTTGGCCCTGTGGTCCACATGTGGTACATGGACAAGAAGACAATCAAGAGGAGTGGATGGTACAAGTGAAATTTGCTTCAAAACTTTGCAAACCCACTACTGAACTTCACAAAAGAGTACTTGGCAGTCACTTCTAGGCCACAAGAAATTGTAAGACATCTTTGTTAGTTCTATACTAGCTACAATTTTCTATTTTACAAGGAACACCAGGGACTATTTTGAAGACAGTCTGATCTTAGGCAATTAGAGGCATAAGAAAGTCAGCTGAATGATCTTTGGTGTGACCACCAGATGCACGTTGCCTCTTCTTGCTCACACCTCCCAACAACTACCAGCCTTGGTGATATCTATATTTCCTGTCTTTTTACCCTGAGCTGACTTAAATAGCAGTGTTACCCACAGTCCAGAGGGTTGGATCAAGGGGGAAAGCAACAGATCCTGGTGAAGGGGGAGTGAGAAAGAAAGGAGATACATCATATAATTGCAGGTACAACATATAATGTATATACACAAAGACAGAGAGGTTATGTCATGGCCCTGTAAAAAAAAGAGATAACTATTAAGCCTGCAATAGATCAAAAGGAAACATGCGCACAATGATGCATATTTATTTTCCAGTGGTCACATTTAAAGTTAAAAAGGGAAAAAGAAGACATGTGAAGTGATGTAGATGCCAAACGTGGAGTACCTGACTATGACATAAGTCAACCAAGAATATAAATCTATTTCAGAATATAAATCTATTTCAGCATAATATTAGTACATTACTTAAATGTGACCCCTATACTTCCTGCCAAAACAGCTTTAGGGACTAGTGTCCAAGTGCTTCATTGGGGATAAGAGCCAACTCTGAATACTTTCAAAGGCTTTCGTGGGTCATTTAGAAAGAATAACATTTTATGTTCCTATCACTTATCCTTAGTTTGATATACAGTGCTATACTTCCATTCTAAAACTACCATCAATAAGGTTGAGGGCGTTCAGAAAAAATAAATTACTCAGATCCTTCTGACTGCCTATTGCATCATTTCTATAACTGAGCAAATATATAAACTGTTGCCTAGTAATTGTAAAAAAAACCTGAAACACTCTACCACCCAGACGCTTCCACTGATCACAGTCACAAACCCTGGCCAGAAGAAGCAGAGGCATTACTTTCGCTAAAAATAACTGATGGTGTCATGCTCCCACTTCATAGCTAGACATCTGTTCAAGCAAAGCCCCATCACATTTCTCTCAGAAAGGTCAGCAGATCTCATGTTACTGGTTTAAAGATCTCTTCGTGCTGTGCTGGATTGTTTTCTATGTATCTTCATGCAGATACGCTTACTCAGAAATGCAGCAGTGACAGGAGAACATCATGATGTGGTGGATCAGAAGGCCTGTACCCACATAGAGTTTGTAATTACAGAGCTTCTAAACCCTCCTGATTTCCCAACTGTAACCACACACATTTGAAGCCCGTGTACTCTATAATTTTCAAGGTAACCTGGAATGTAGTAGTCAAGGTGGAAGAACCCAAAGTTACATTCCCAAAGATATGTAAATTAAAATATAGGTAATGTGGCTATTCGGTAGTTTCTAAATAGATAGTATATAGAACCTATTGAATGGTGCAAATGTAAGGGATCTGGATATCATAGGTCAAATAGGCAACCAGGAGTTCATAATGAAACTTAATGAAATCCAGGGTGTAAACTGTTAGCAAACCCCAATTAAGTAAGTCTACCCTTTCAGAGCTTTCACAGGTTCCTGTTGTAAGAAAGAAGTCATCACAGTGCAGAAGGGAGTGATTATAATGATACAGTTTTTCTCTGAAGCAAATATTTTATACCTGAAGATCTATAAAAAAAAGTAGGTTTTAAAATTTTTCTTCTAAATTATTAAGGTACAGAGATAAAGGATTTAGAAGTAATATCTAGACTAAAAAGGTTTGTGTAAATTTTTTATTTTACATAGAAATTTGAGGAGGACATATACTGAAAATGAAAATAAACACCCTTTCCTCTTTCCAATATGTAAAATAGTGTTAAAAGGAAATTTCACATTTAAGTATATTAAAGTACCAATGGGAAAACCTCTAAAAGCTACTATTGAACTGTGGTGGAACACAATGCACTATTGATTAGCCTTACAGACACACAATGTAACACATTTGTGGATGTTATGAGGTCTATGTGGAAAGACAGAATGACCAGTGCTACTGAACTCACAGCACAGCATCCTAATGACCTATGTGGCTAATTTTAAATGTGACTATGTAGAACCGGGCTCTATCCTGTGCCACTTTTGGATCCTACGCAATCATTAAGTATACTAAAATAATTGTATTTGTGTCATGTGGCTATGACCAAGTTAACAAGACCTGCAATTTAAATGAATAACTGGGATACGATGTAAAAGTGTCCTTGCATCAAAGACTTCCACAAAAGAAAAAGCAAAAACATGATGCATCTACAAATATACTCCATTCTTAGACTTCAGGGAGAATTTTCATATACCACCTTTTTGCTCCAAATATTGCAAAACTTTTCTAACAGAAATCTCTTTAGCTTGTAAATATCCATATGCACCCTATTTCCCATTGCTAATCCACAGGTGCTGCACAGATTTAGGCTCACTAACATATGGTACTGTGGCTAACATCTTTTAACAGATCACACTCAACCATCCCTTCAATGTTGGGGTTTTGGCACCCTTGGAATCTCTAAGATATAGAGAAAGATCTCGTTTTTTTGAAGCTGGAGAATGTAGTTATTAGCCTTAAAGAGTAGCTAACATTTCCCAATCCAAAAATCTCCTTTAATTATCATACTTCCAGTACTTCAAATACATTGTTTGTATGAACTAAATGAATTGTGTTATGCTGTGTATCATTGCTTCTCAAACTCTTAAAGTGTTTTCTTCCCAGCCTTGTCGATCTGCATCTGACACTTCAATTTTGGGCTTTTTATTAACAGTGGATCAGTCCAATTTGCTGTTCCTATTTTGGTTTATTTCCAAGGGAAGGTGTGGAATAAAAAGCTGAAAAAATATCTTATTTCACAGCTTTGCCCCATTTATTTCCTGACTAAGATGATTTTTGTGTAATATTACTGTACAAGAAATGTTTAAATCATCAGCATTTGATGAGGCTCAATATGCCTTTCACACTTGATTGCATAGCAGACTGGTGGGGCCATGTGACATCCCTGACTCTATATACTACTTGCACAGAGTGCTAAACCAAAGCCATAATTATATTTTCTTCTCTTCAACTGACACAGAAGCATTTTACCACTGGTGTCCTGCTAAACAATATTAATTCAATAAATTAAGGTAGTTTTTTTGCTTATACTACTGGTTGAGAATTAAGTTTTCTGAAAATGAAAGCAAACTTATAAAAATACACTGAAGTGTTTTGCAAAGAGACGGGAAATTCATCTTGTCCAACAGATTGCTTAAATGAAAAAAATGACCCATTACTAAGATTTTATTTTGGAGGGCATGTGTTCATCTCTTCTATTCAGGTATAATACATCAGTCATCTTATGAAGTCTTAATAAGGAGTTGCATTATATTTGTTCAGCTGACTGAACACAAACTGGTTAATTCCAGCTTTTTTTGAAGGTGATTCCAGTATACAAGTTCCTCAATACAGCAGACAGGATTAAATGTTGTCACTTTTTGCTGAATGTCCTGCTAAGACAAACAAAATATACTCCAGCTAAATGGGGGCATTTCCAAGCTGAGCTCCTCTGGGCAGACTCAGGTGAGCAGACTGGCAGGCCAGCTCCCACAGGAAACCCTTCCTCTGACCTGTACTCCTCCAGCCCAGCTCCCCTGACTGAACAACAGCTACTAGGTGCATTCAAAGCATGATCTGACAGTCAAGTGCCATTAGTCCAAATTCATCACTTAAGTCATTAAGATTTTTAATGTTCTCTTTGCATGAAAACAGAGTGTTTCAGTGCCATGTAAATACTATTATTGACTTGCTTTCTGTTTAGCAAAGACTATAATGCTGTTTACTGTGTGCTATTGCCCTTTTACCAAGATGGTCCAAGGGCTGGGATCTTTCAGGTCAGGTTCCCATTTGTAACTATTACAAACACAAAAGAGACATTTTTGTTCAGAAAAGTAAGGAAACTCCTTGCTAAGCAACAAGACCATAAAGTTCCATTTGCAGAACTTTAAGCAGATCTGCCCAGCTGTTGGAAGCAATTATTTTGGAATTATTTTTCTCTTGCAAAGAAAACTCTTATAGTGCTTTTTCACAAAATCAATTGTTTTGCTACTTCACAGCTTCCACATGCTTCATCTGGGATATTCTTAGCTTAAAGCCTCTCAAAGTCAAAGAGCTAGGAAAGATGAGCTTAGTATTCCCTGAAGTGTAGAACAGCACAAAAAAAAAAAAAAAAAAAAAAAGGAAAACTGTATTTTCAAGTGGCAAAGAATATTTTTAATTACTTTCTGTGTTACCTAACAAGACGAACTGTGCACAACTTCATTTTGACTCTTTTCCATGGGTTTTAAGGTATTTTGTAAACGGACATTGTCCCTTACTATTCTGATGCATTACTGAGAGTTCCTAAAGCCAAATGTTTCCACCACTTCAGGACCAATATTCACAGTGTCTTTTTTATACATTCTTGACTGTCATTAGATTCCTCACAAAATGTCATTTTTCAAGAAAAAAAAATTCATACTGTCTTACACCAAAACTGCAATGGACCCAATGATAAAGAAATACTGAGGGAAGATATCTCCTTATGCTAAATTGTTTTCAATCCTCTACCCGTGACCATGTGTTTCCTCACTGTTCTTCATCTGTGACCAGCCATGATCATGTGCCAAAACACAACAGAAGATATGAGTGGGTACCTGTGCTTCACAACTTTCACTTTTTGGCTAGCCTTACTAAGAAGCATTTGTGCATCTGTTCCTTTGCTTATTTTTCATTTTAATTTGCAGTATGACTAAGAGAGTATTGACCAATGCCACATATTTACTGTGATGTAACAATGTTCATGAAATACACTTGTTACACAATAGTACATATTTTCTGATGTAGGACATGAACTTGGAGAGAGGATATAAAAAGTATTTGCATCTGAGAAAGGCCTACAAGGAGGGCACTGCACTGAAACCAGTCAGGGATCAAAGCTCATTCCAGACCTTCCACAAAAGCACTACTGCTCTCCTTTTTTAAATGCATACAAGCTGAAGCTTTGATTCAGTGTGCCTGTAAAATTGCACCATTATTTGTACATTTACAATCTCTTCCTTTTAAATTGTAAGACTAATTGCTCCTGTACAGCTGCCATAGCTCCTCCTTCTATTCCCTGTTGTTTAACTTGGACCAAAAGATTCTGACCTCCATCAAGCCTCATTAGCTCTTCTTTAGCCATGTTCTCCAGTTATATCCCATTTGTTATGATCAAGACAAAAAGGCAAATTAATTTCAGAAAAATAAATTGGAAGACACAAAAGGATGAGGGATGAACATCAGGGTCAGTTAATTTAATAGTAGCTTCAAAAATGGCAAATAGGCAGAGCAGGCTCAGTTATGTTTTTCCAGGTTACTGCTTTAGAAAAGCTATCTTTTTTTCTTCCAAAACAAAAACTCTCAACTTTGATAGAAAAAGAGGTCTTAAAGTCTTAGGCCTTCTGTTTAGCTGCCAAATTTTGCTGCAAGCCTTTATAGAGAAAGAATTATGAACAAAATAAATGAGCTATATCATTACAAAGCTGAAAACTTTTTTTAAGAGGTCACACATATTTCCAGATTTCTTTATTGAAAAAATAAACAATTGAATAAAGTGGAGACCTCACCAAACATTTTTTGAAGAAGAGCAATTAGCTCTTTGGTGATTATCAGTAATGAGTCAACATTTCCTTAAGAGAAGAAAAAATGCTACCTGCAACTACAATTAATTGTAATCTATGTCATATATATATAGGGCACAACCCAGATATCCCTGCAAACGGAAATGTGTAGGTGACCCCAATTGCTCCTGGGGATCCATGCTCATCCAGTTAGGGGGCCGTGCTTGAATGTGCTGCTCTAAAACAGACAACCAGAACTATCTCCAGTGTTTCACTCCCAACACACTGACAAACATACTGGAAAAACATCCACATAAATTTAAAGTTTAGATTTAAATTTTACTAGAAGAAATCAAACCCAAAGCCATAATGAAATGCCTGATTCTGATCCCTGAAGTTGCATAATTTCTTAGATTTGCTTCTGTATTCTGGCATTTTGTTCACTAACTTCTAAAAATAAAAAGCATCTCTTTCTACATACATGAAAAATGCTCTTTTTACAACATGAAATATTTCATTAACACCATTTTAGAGTCAACATTTTGATTAGCATCAAGACTTTGGAAAAACCATGTGGACTTTAAGAAATCTAGAT